ACGAGCATGTTGCATTCTTTTCTGTTAAAAATAACAGTGAACAGTGGTTTGTGAATCTTGATGCTTAGCCTAAATACGTTTCATGTGAGCGCTGCTGCAGTCTTAGGCCCACCCCAAATGCTCTCATTGGTTGAGATGCGTGATGACGCTCATTCCAAGCCAGTACTGATCAACATTCCACCCCTCCTGTGACCCATGGTTTGTCTGTATATGTATTCAGAGCCAGTGAGCAACGGACTTTCATAATAATAAAAACGCGCGATAAAATAATTGTCGGCGTTAATCAATTAATGCGTTAACGCGTTAACTTGCCCAGCCCTAATATATATACATATATACTGTATATATATATATATATATATATGAGAAATGCTGTTATTTTGAACTTTCTATTCATCAAAGAATCCTAAAAAAGGATCATGTTCACCAAAAATATGAAATGGCAGAACTGTTTCACAGTCTGTACACACACACACACACACACACACACACACACACAAGTACTTTTCAACAAGTCATTTGTTTTCTTTGTGTAAAAACTTTTCAAGTAGAAAAAAACACTTAGCGCACCTTTAACAAGAAAAAGCTTTGTTTAAAGTGTTGCCCAACAAAAACGATTACTCCTGTAAGGAAATGTAGTCCATTTTATGTGCGGGGCACAACTATGTCAAATGTAAGGTTGGCTGAGCTGATGCTTGCAGAGAAATGTGAGAGTAGAGTCCAAAGCTGCGAGGCAAAACATCAGACATGAAAGTGCAGCATCTGTTTAATTTAATGGTCACTGCTGGAGGGTCTGATGTAAGGTACAGAGGGATGAAGTGAATCCTGAATGAACAAAGGAAGTAGGAAAGAGCAATCCCTTAAGATTCACAGGGACCGGCCTGCTGTGTCCTTGGACAGGGCTCAGGATGGGTAACACATTACAAGCCATTTAATTAGACCTCGGGTGATGGATGTGACTGTTCACAGGAAATCAACGTATGAAACATAGATCCAGCCACTTGAATATGCTGCTCTACAACACAAGACACATGCAATACAACCCGGGATATTCCGGCGGGATTTGCTTGACATATCGACGTGCATGTGGAAGAAGTCTGGGAGGGATCGGATGACTGTCTGCGGCTCTCACATTTCCTGTTACTAAAAGCAAGCATGCGAATAAAGGCGCTTGGAAGTCGCTGAAAATGTGCGAGATGTCACACAAGCAGCAGGTGTAATTTGTGCTAATGATATTCCTAAATAATCTACGCTAATTACCGAGGTCAGCCAAAATTATTCTCTCCATATGTCTGCTGTCTGGAAAAATCTCCCTCTGAGAAAAAAAAAATGCATGGGCATGTGTGTGTGTGTGTGTGTCTGTGTTGTAGGGTACAAGGTAAAAAGATGACTGACTGCCTTTGTCACATTATTTGAGGAAGGGAATGAGTCATGCATTAGTGAAGCTGGTCCAACTCTGTGGCTGCCCAATGGATTTTGTGTTGATCGTGTGAAAATGACTTTTGAAGGATTGTTTTTCTCTTCACACCTGCAGCCTGTTCCATAGTCTTTTTTGCAGACGAGGATGAACAGGTGTGCTACTGCTGCTTTAGGTATAAAAGAGGTGTAGTTAATTCAAATCGTCTGACAATGTACCAAAAAGCACAAACACTTCCATGAAAACTCTTCTATGGAAATCCAATCTGATGACGAGAAATGCAGAACATGAATGATGAGGACTGTTTAAATCAGGACATGCCTTGTATTTTCTCAGTTTGAACCACTTTTCAAGAAAGAATAATTGTGTTTATTGATTTATGGCTAGGTGTATCAAGTATTAGCAGACAGACTAAATCACATTGTAATCACATAATCGCACACTAAAATGCTCAGAAATCCCTTTACCGTTAAATACTGGCCTCCTCTTTCTTTTCTGCCAGCTGTTTGTAGTTTTTTTTTTTTTTATAATAACATTAAGCATGTTTATTAATCTCTTTTGGCTAGTGTGTGAATGTAAAACAACCCTCACTTTCTTTGACACTAGCAGCTAATAATCATTTTTTATTCCTCTACCTGAGCCTGAGAATGTACAACGCTCTTCAAAATGTACATTATGTCTATACAAGATCATTTCAAGTCATTATCACCTTTATAATGGATATGGAGATGCTTTATGGTGTTGCAGGTATGCGGTGCTGTAACACAATTGTCTGAAGTGTTAATTGAGTTAGCGGTGCAGAAGTTGTTCTGTACTCACAGATCTGCTGCATCGGCAAATTCCACGGCTTCATAGTTCATGCATAATAAATTTAGCAAATGTTTACATATGCTGCTTGTATACTGGTCATTTTAAAGTAAATATTTGATGCCTTATTCACACAGATTATTCATACAGTAGCTTCTCAATCATTGGCTGACAAGACTAAGAGTGATATAAATCATGAAGCTAGAGAAATTAAATCTATACATGATTAGCTTCATTTCCAATCAGGGTCCAACATTAACTTGCAGCACCAGCCAACAGTGGGTAAATTAAGAAAATTCTGTTTATATGACCATTTTTTTGTATAATATAATATAATATAATATAATATGATATAATTTTATAATATAACCATTTTGCAGTTCCTAATGAAGTTACAATTTTATTTACCTGTCATTGGCATTTGGTGAATGTTAATTTTGAACCCTGTTCCCAATATATAAGCGTTCCACCCAAGGGAAATATGAGACAGAATTAATGTTACTAATTTAGAGTTGAATCAATGTATATAACACAAATACTATACTACATGTTTTCCAGAACTGTGAAGCGCAAATGCATAATCTAATCAAAGGCAGACATGATCTATGTGTGTATTTTCATTGTTCCATGTACCAGTTCTAAAACTACATTATAGAAACTTTGCAAATTAATTGAACTATATTAAACAGCTTATTTAAATCTCTCCAGGTGTTTAATGAAGATGTTGTTTAAAACAGTCCAACATGGTTATCTGCTCTTTTTTAATGTTTAGAGCAGCTAACCCTATTTATCTTCATTTAGCTCATTAGGCCAGTCTCCAGAGCATTATTGTCAAAAATATGGAGATGTTAAAGCAAACACAACCTGCCTTGTGCACAAGGCCAGTTTCTGTTTGCAAGCAAAGCACAGTTGGATTTTTTATTGTACATCATCGCAGACATTAAAAACCCACGGTTCCACCTCCAAGCCTCTGTGTAATTAAACATTTTAAATGCAACCCAAATTGCATTTCTTCCTGCCTTCAGTTCAGGGGTCACTTGAACCATTACTAGCTCCTTATGAACATTATCTTGCGGCCCTCACTAATTAGAGTGTTCTGCCTTATCTGCACATTAAAAAGACTGCATTGCAGCGCACCATCGTTTAGTACTTCAAACACTCAGCTCAGAGATTATCAGAGAAGCCTTCAATGGCTTATTAATGTGGCCAAACAAGCCTCTTTAATAAAGCGGTTTAATCCCTACTAAAGAGCAAAGCGGTACTCACGGTCACTGCAGAGGGGACCTCCGTATGTCGTCATGGTGCAGTCACAGGTAAACCCCTCCCACTGCTGCAGACACACTCCCTGATTGGAGCAGGAGTCCTCGGTGCAGGTTGTGCCAGGGCCGGCTGAAACCAATTATAATCACTATAAATCACACAGACTATCATCATGTCCACACTGACACAAGTGTCTAAGCTCAGAATCTCACAATGGTCACTAGTTGTGAGCAACAGGAAAATGGACAAACAACTCGGCAGTCAACTTTGTCAACACAAATCCATTGGATCAAAAACAGACCTACAAGTATAAGTATCATAGTATATATTAGGGATGCATAATGGACTACTTGCATAACCACTTCCGTGTTCTACTTTGTACAGCTAGGGAGTTTCCGGTCAGCGTTTAACGCACCTACATACAGACAGTTTCTCATGAGAATGCGGATTATTACTATGTTTTAAGGCTGGCAATTTTTTTTAAACAATTAATCATATTCTCTGCATTAACATGAATTATCTTCAACCTGCTGAATTGTTCCTAAATATATTTCCCTTCCAAATGTGCATTCTGAATAATACATAAATATATTTCCCTGCTAACCCGCCGAGGTCCAGCGCCTGTCTTCTCATTAACAGTATTTTTCTTTTACTGATCAAATTTCATACCAGTTGAATTTACAGTCTTAAATGGATTTGGCTGATAAGCACCCTTACATTTTACTATAGTAAAAGTGTAGTAACCACGTTTTTTTGCAGATTACCATTTGTATAACCTCAATTTTACAACAAATACCATGGTTAAACTACGGTTAGTGTAGCAAAACCCGGGTTAATTTGTGGTTACTATGGTTTAACTACAACTACATTTTTAGTTATAGGGGGGGTTATTTGTAGTAAAACCATGGCTAATTTTCATAAGAGCAGTATTGCTTGTGTGCGTTGGTGCTTTTATTCCAATGTTTAAAATGGCTGAATGAATGGTGTATTCTGTTGAATATTCATATTTTGGCATTGCATACAGTGAAATTATTGTGAATGAAAAATGACACAGGATAGTGACTAACATCGAATACAGATAAATAAAAGATCTCACACACACTGCAGCATCGCGGTTACTAGTTTAGAGTACTGACACCCTGTCATGAAACGTACGTTTACCAGCCACTGCTTTCTCAGATTGGCTTATGTTGGATTAAAACTTCAAGTTCCGCAGAGTTTGGAAAATTCTGTACACAGTAATCATCAGAATATCTCTTCTCCTGTCTATGAAAATGTCCAGATTTTGAAATTATCCCATGGACTCTAATTTTAATAAGCGTCTATATGAATAACTATATGACTAGCACATTGAAAATATGCATAACTGGAAATAACTGAGCTGTATTATTTCCAAATGGAAGTACGTCACGAGGCTCAGTGCAAGTAGTCCATACTGGTTAGATATTAGTTTATAGTCTATATTTTAATTAATTGAGAAAAAAATTATATACTTAATTATTAAATAAATAAATAAACAAACAAACATACATTACAAAAAAAGTCCAAGGTATTTCTTCTAGTACAAAAAGTTTTTGTCTGGTCACATTTGGACTTTATAATTATAAAAAAAACACAAAAAAACAACAACAACAAAACTGTACACTGATTTTTTTTTTACAGAACCTGATTTTTTAACTATTTTATTTTGATCAACTAAAACAATAATAAAGGTCTCTAATAGTTTGTACAAGAACAATCTATTTTCTATTTTTTAAGGTTTATGATACCCAACCAAAGAGCAATCAGAATATTTCATGAGGTTCTTCCAGCAAGCAGTGTTCCAAGACAGTTTTCTTTGATCAAATAAATAAAGAAACGGCTTAATTTAATTTAATATAATATATTTTTTAATGTCATATCTGTATTAGCTAGAATTTTAATGTTGAAGAATCCATAGTATATACAGGTGCATCTCAATAAATTAGAATGTCGTGGAAAAGTTCATTTATTTCAGTAATTCAACTCAAATTGTGAAACTCGTGTATTAAATAAATTCAGTGCACACCAACTGAAGTAGTTTAAGTCTTTGGCAAGCCAATATATTATTTAAATATAAAATAAATTAAATTCATAGCAAATAATAATAATAATACAACGTGAAACAATATTTATTACAAAAAAACAACACAAATATAATAATAATAATACAATGTAAAAAATAATAATGTTATCACAAAATAAAACTAGACTGACAGGAAAGTGTAAAATTGACACACGAGTGGCACAAAATGACGTGCGCATCTTTAACTGCATGTGGAAGTGGTGTATTTTGAGTTGTGTACATTGTTGTGATGTCCCTTGAAAGGCTCAGAGCAGAAGTACACTAACCTTCACAGCCTCGCTCTACTTGCCCCACACGGTGCAAAGCATCTGCGATCAGGTCAGGAAGCCTGCCATTCAGGTCAACTGAGGCCAGGCAGCCCTGATAGCCATCCCGCGATGCTATGAGCTTGGGCAGACTGTTGTAAATGCTCTTCCCAATACCTCCAATGTACAGCTCTCCTATATGACACACAGAAAATATACACCGTCATCAACACATATCACAATAAGGTTCATTCAGCGGATTTCTTCTTCAAATTCAGCTGATTCTCCATCTGGGGTTGAATATCTGTCCTTAAAATAAGGCAGAAATCAAAGATGATAGTGTTGCATTTAAATGATGTTCTTCATGTTGATTGGAGCTTCATAAGGTGTGATCCTGTGGTACTCTATGATGAGCTGAATATGTGTGGTTCTCTTTTCAACTAATTCCCTGCTGATGGCTAATTCCAGTGAACCTTTGATGTGCAGAACAAAAAGAAAAACAGGGTTGTCATAAAACGGCATATAATTACGTAACATCAAAGTTACCCTTGAGCAACTTTGACGAAGAGAGCATGTGGATAAGCATATGTGAAGATGAAGGAGACGGGAACCCCAGTACGATATATAGACACTGTTCTCGCTATAGGCTCCGTTACAATGCTCATCTGTGGTGTTTGGGTGTGGGATTGTGCTCAGACAGAGATTTAGGAATGGAAAGGAGAGGTGGAGAATTGAAATGACTTGGCTCTTGAACACAGTACAACGTGTCCCTGCGTCTTAAGAGCAGGCTGACGCAACACTGTTCAGAGGAGGCCATGTACAATACCACCCCCCTAGCCAATTTTGTAAATATAGTGTAAATTCTATGCAGTTTGAAATGATTGTGTGAAATTATTAGTGTGGTATGATCTAAGGACCACAGAATGAAAAACATGTAGATGTATAATTAATATGTATTATTTTATACATAGTATTTTTTTTTTATCATTTATCAACGCTTGTTGACAAAACTGGGCATCAGCATGTAGTAACAGCATATAATAATAATAATAATAATAATAATAATAATAATAATTCTTTATAATATAAGCTATACTATATGCTATATTCTATATTGCCCAGTCATTATTAAATAATGAAATAATACAACAATGCAATATTTTGAATACACAATACTTTTACTGTACAAGTACTATATCCTATATGCCCAGTTTTGTCAGTTTTTGTCATATATTACATTATGATATAATATAACAATATAATATTTGTGGCTATATTTACTATATAACAACAACAACAACAATAACAATAATAATAATAAATTATTATTATACAATATGATATATTACTATTTCCTATATTGGACAGTTTTGTCAGGTTTTTTTGTCAAATATTACATTATAAAATAATATAATTTTTGCATTAGTAGTAGTAGCATTATAATTGCTAATATGGGTCACACTTCTCACTATGAACCATGGGCAGCGCTAGGGAGGGGCTAGCAGTTGTGCTTCAGCACCCCCAAGAAAGACAAAAGCACCCCCATAGCACCCCCACAGATTTTTTCCTGGAATCAATTATTTACATGCTGTAGCCTATTGTATTTAATAATTAAGATGATAATAAAAAAAAGAAACAAACAAAAAATATATATATTTTTTGACTCCTTACGCATGCATAACTCGTGCAATGCAATAACGATTTTTTATCATTTATCAACGCTTGTTGACAAAACTGGGCATCAGCATGTAGTAACAGCATATAATAATAATAATAATAATAATAATAATAATAATAATAATAATAATAATAATAATAATAATAATAATAATAATAATAATAATAATAATAATAATAATAATAATAATAATAATAATAATAATAATAATAATAATAATAATAATAATAATAATTCTTTATAATATAAGTTATACTATATGCTATATTCTATATTGCCCAGTCATTATTAAATAATGAAATAATACAACAATGCAATATTTTGAATACACAATACTTTTACTGTACAAGTACTATATCCTATATGCCCAGTTTTGTCAGTTTTTGTCATATATTACATTATGATATAATATAACAATATAATATTTGTGGCTATATTTACTATATAACAACAACAACAACAATAACAATAATAATAATAAATTATTATTATACAATATGATATATTACTATTTCCTATATTGGACAGTTTTGTCAGGTTTTTTTGTCAAATATTACATTATAAAATAATATAATTTTTGCATTAGTAGTAGTAGCATTATAATTGCTAATATGGGTCACACTTCTCACTATGAACCATGGGCAGCGCTAGGGAGGGGCTAGCAGTTGTGCTTCAGCACCCCCAAGAAAGACAAAAGCACCCCCATAGCACCCCCACAGATTTTTTCCTGGAATCAATTATTTACATGCTGTAGCCTATTGTATTTAATAATTAAGATGATAATAAAAAAAGAAAGAAACAAACAAAAAAAAAACATTTGACTCCTTACACATGCATAACTCGTGCAATGCAATAATCACGTGATTTGCAGCTGTCACACTTTTCGTAATGTCATTATTGCATTTTATTTAAAAAATGGAGCGCTTCCTTGTGCTAAGTAGGCCTGCCCCCGACTAAAGATTTTTCTAGTCAACTAGTTGCACGTTATATTAAATTAATTAATATAATAATATATTAACCATCCTTTAATATATAGGCAGGCGTAGGCTATGAAGCTATAGCCTATTCCGCGCTCAAGCTCGCGCATAAAGCAATTGCCTACCGGTTAACCGTTAACCGACCGTATAGAATTTTGACCGATTAATACAATCAGTTAAACGGTTTAAAAAGTAAATTTTTTTTTTCAGTAATTTATCAAAATATTTTAAAAGATTTGCTGCATTTTTAAAATATGATACGCGTATAAAAAAATTTGTTTTTTTAGAGAAAAAAAACATAAGTCGCGTATAAGTCACATTTTATTATTTCATTCAGAAATAGGCCTAATGCCGACGCGAAATGTTTACAAACATTATAATAAACACTGTAAACACAGCTAGGCTATTTTAGTTCCCCTCACTCCACAAAAAAGCCTTTCAATAACCAACGTTGGGTCTCTCATTCAACACAAAATCAAATGTTTCTGTATTCGCGATGTATTTGAATGGCAAATTATTATTTATTATGTAGCCTACTTCACTCGCGTTCCAATATCCACGTAAAACAAAACGTTTTGCATAACATCACGGCGGTGCGGTGATAACACTTACCGGCACAGATTTTACTACATATTTAAACTGAGCAGTGTGTTTTTTTCCCCCCATATGTTTGACTGACTGTATTTTATTAGGCTAATAATGAACAGGCTGCATTGTCAAGGTAGCAATGCTTAACTGTGCGCGCGCATGCGGCGCCTGTGCAATCACTTGAATTTTTTTTCTTTGCTCTTTGCTTTTGTAAAATAAGCCTAAAGAAAAATAGGATGCCGCTTTCTGCCATCTGTTTCCTTTCGCGCAGCACAAAAATGAACCGAAACTCTTCATACTAGGCTACTTGTTACAGTTTTTCTTTCATTTTTTTTATTTATTATTTAAGTAAAGATATATTTCTCGTATAGGCCTATTTATTCGTTATATATATATAGCCTAGCTCCTATGTTTTTCAGCTCGTTTTTCTCCGCTCGCAGAAGCGCTGCAGGTGCGTGACCATGTGAATCCTCATGTTCTGTTGTTTTGCTGCTTTTTGTGCAAGTAAAATTAATCCCCGGGAAACAAATGTTAGTATTTTTAACGGGTCACAGACACTTATCCTTTCTAATTTAATTCAATTCTAATTTAAAATCATCTTGTCGGTTAACGGTTAATAATCGGTTAACCAGTGTCGGTTGTCGGTTAGGAAAAATAACCGAAATGAACATCCCTAATTTTAATTATTTATTTATTAAACTAGTGCTTTCTGAGTCAGTGTAGGGTGCAAAGATGAAGTTGCCGAATGCCGATGCTGACTCGCCATCTCCACATATACGTGCTTTTAATAGAAATGCACCTTTTCATATGGAATACAAAATTTCGAGTGGGCGAGTTTTCCTTATATTTATTTTATTATTCATATAAAAAAATTATAATAACCTGTTTTGGTTATATTTACTATTAATTGCAAGACTTCAGACTGCGAACGAATGGTCGCATTTTGCGACCATTTTTTCTGCCTGTGTGACTAAATTTTGTGAGCGGTCGCACTGGCGCAACCACCGTGTTGTTCAACTCATAAGCGTTGCCATTTCTGTTGCATATGAGAAACATCAAACGGCAAATCGTTTGAACTGCGCAGCGCTTCGAGTGTAGAGCATGGTTTATACTCGCCGCGTCAGCAGGAGCTCGAAGGTGCGCGCAGCAAAAATGAAAAAAAAAAAACATGTTGCGACCAACTGAGAAACTCAGTCGCAAAAGAGCGACCAGTGGGAAGAATGAGTCTTGAGCCCTGAATTGCCCAGCTCCACCTGTCAATGTTCTAGCACCCCCTCAGCACCTGCGTTCAAAATTCTCTGGCGCCGCCCCTTCTATGAACTAACTATTAACTATTACTTTTGCCTCAATAAACTCTTAATTTGCTGTTTATTCATAGTTAGTAAGGTAGTAGTTAAATTTAGGTATGGGGTAGGATTAAGGGATCTAAAATATGTTCATAGAGAATTTATATGTGCTTTATAAGTACTAATAAACAACCAATATGCTAGTAATATGCATGCCAATAAACAACTAGTTAATAGTGAGAATTAGTCCTTAACATAAAGTGTTACCCTAATGTTTATCATATGACATTAAGTAATCAGGTGGTTGCTAATAAAATACTGTCCTCATATTATCCTCCATTGCTGTGCGGTTAGGAGACATAACTGCTAGTGTCAATATAAACAGACCCACAATTATAATATAAGTGTGCTGATGTTATATTTAGTCATTGTGTTGTTTAAGGTTCACACTGCTCTTTCATTCTGCTCTTATTATTAAATTTTTGTCATTTTGCAAACATATATTGAGGAAAGCATAGTAAAGCAAGATATTTGGGGACCTTCAGATAAACATTCAGCGGCAGACCATGTTTAGAGGGCATTGTTTGCCAGTAAAATGTAATTTCCAACTGAGCTCTGCCGGCAAGACAGGCAATTACGCGTTAAAACTGACAAGCAAGAACACAC